CCTCAATTGAGGGGAGAAAATAGATGATACAAACAACAATACAAACAAGTGTTTAATAATTAAAAATAACAAAACAGACAATAGAATAATAAGAATGGACAACAATGATACAGACAATACTGATCCTAACAAAAAAGGAAAAGCAGTAGAACCAACAGAGTTAACAGACAACAAAGTTAAATTAACTGAAAAAGAAGTAGAACCTAAACTATGTTGATTGGAATGGAAACAGAAACTGACAGAATGTGCTATCAAGCTTGAACAATGCATGGAGAATAAATGTGTAACAAAACACATGTATGCACTTAGCAAAAAGGATGAAGATAATATTGCCATTCATTTAACAGAATTTAATACTAAAATAAGTGAAATACAATTGGATCCAACTTCATTTAATGAAGCAATCCAACATCTAGATTGTGATTCATAGATTACAGCTATGAAAGACAAAATAAAACAATTAGAAAATCATAATACATAGGAAATCATGAATCCACACAATAATATTAACATTATCAGAACACAATTTGTCTATAAAATAAAGCAATACACTAACAATAGCATAGAAAAATACAAAGCACAATTAGTAGTTTAAGGAAACTATCAGATTGACAGCCTTGACTATCATACAGACGATTTATTTGCTCCCACTGCTAGACTATCTACAGTGCAATTAATATTAGCATGGGTAGCATCTAATAATTATGAAATACATTAGATAGATATAAAATCAGTATATCTGTATGGACAATTAACAGAAGACAAAGAAATATATGTTAAACCTCCTCCAGGTAACTTAATAGATGGATTACAGAATGGACAAATATTACAATTACAAAAAGTGCTATACAGATTAAAACAAGCTGGTAGAAGATGGTATAAAACACTATCTAATATACTACTTAAATACAGATTAACAAAATCCAAACATGATAATACTGTATTCTTTGCAAAGAAGAAAGAAATAACTGTAACCATATTATTTGTACATGTTGACAATATTACTATTGCAGTAATGAATAATAATACTATTGTAATGATAAAACAATCTATTGCACATCATTTACAATATACAGACAGTGGCAAATTACACTTGCTACTTGGTATAGAGACTCAATACAACAGAGAGCATAGATTCATCAGGATGCATCAGACACATTATATTAATAGTATAATAGAATGTTACAAACTTACAAACAAACAAAGTGTACAAACACTCATACAGCCTGGTACACAATTAAAAACAGTATTACAAACTGATAACAATAGAGAACAAATGTCTGATATACTATACATGAACATGGTTGGTGCACTTAGATACATTGTAGACTGTACACAGCCAGATATAGCATTTACAACAAATCAGTTAGCTAAATACCTCAATGACCCTAGTATGGAGCATTATCTGGCACTTAAACATTGTTACATGTACTTAAAAACTATGAACAATGTCTGGCTCCAACTCAGCAGCACAAATCAATCAATATTGAACAGATATACAGACACAGACAGTATGATGCAAGAAGGGCATTGTGCAATATCAGGATACACATTTTACTTGAGTGATTCATTAGTTTTGTAGTCAAGTAAAAGACAAACACTAGTAGCAAATTCAACATATGAAGCTGAATTAATAGCTCTTGCAAGAGGAACACAGGAAGCAATTGCACTTACTCATTTAGCTGAAGAGATTCTGCAGGTCTCTGATACACCAATTAATATCTATTACAATAACAATACTGTTATACAAATGGTTACGTTGGACAAACTCAAATATTCGGAACGAACAAAGCATTTAGATCATAAGAAAGATTTTATTAAATGCTACATTGAGTTAGAGTACATAAATGCAAAATACATACAGACAAACAATCAACAAGCAGACATATTAACTAAAGCACTACATGTACCACAAGTCAAACATCTTACCAGTTTACTCAGACTAGTAAGAGTTTGAAGGGGAATATTATGAGATGATTAGTTCATCAACAGACAAACCACAAGACAATGACTTCATAATGTCTCAGTTAGAATACATACAATATAAGGACAAGAGACACTGAGCAGTCAATCATCACCTCACCCCTTGTCTATGCATGCCCCCCTTAAGTTTTCCCTCTCAACAAAAGCACACAGAGTGTAGTGTGTGAACTATGCACCTGAGATTACAGTTGACCTGTAGTGATGCACTCGACTGTGTTGGTACTACAGCTGGGGTTTTATCGTCACGTCAGAGTCGAAAGTCACACAGCAGACATATTAGAATATAACAAATAAACATATTCACATCATATGCTAAGCAATATTCTGAAGCAGGCCTTTGATTGGACAATAAGAATATGGTTTAGAATATGGGACAAATTTGTTTGTGTATCATATTCTAATATGTCTGCTGTGTCAAGTCTTCGTCACTGGTACGGAAGTCACACTCATGGGTTTGACCACGTGATCGATTGTGGTTTTTGAGACGCGCCGCGCGAGAGTATTTAAACTCAACTCCGGATCACCACACACGTTGTATCCCTTCCACTATGTCTTCCAGCACGTCTTCCGAACAGCAACGCTTTGTGGTTTTTTTCCTCTACAATGACAAGTCGGTACCTCAATCCTTTCTCATACCAAAGGATGCAGAGGTGAAGTACCTGCGAGTGGCAATTCGCGACGATCCGGATTTAAAGCATCATCTGGAAAACGAGACGCTACATCTTTATAGGGTTATTCTCAGCCATCTCCTACTCTGCCGTCGTGCTGGTAATTAACGTTGTTTATTCAGTGTGGTGAGCTGGACATGGAGCCACTCGATGCACTCTATCAATCCACTTTGAAGTGGCTTCGCGAAAATACAACTAGCAAGATGAACCTTGCGTATCCCCTCTCAGAATATTTTGCAGATGGCCCTGCACCTATGAAGAACAAGAAGGTAGATGTCATTGCTGTGACTGAATCCAGTGTGTATTTCGATCTCAACACATCTGCTGTATTCAACTGACTTCTCGCAAGTTTTGGAAAGCCTCGACAAGGTACCCGACCTCGCAGATATCCGTGCTTTCAAGATGACCGAAGGTACATTTTCCATTCATCAAATGTGCTTAATTAATGAAGCTGTCCACCAGAACGCCGAGCGCGTCCGGTTAGCAAAATCCGCCGTCTTCCATCTCCGTCTGAGGGTATCCGCGATGAGGCTGGAATAAAACAAAGCACTGATGAGAACCGCGGTGTGCATGCTCATCGTCCGGCTTCCAATTACGGACCACCAACGGCACTCTTCAACCATGCCCTCGCCAGGCTTAAACACCGCCTGCAGCATCTTGATGAACAAGCAGAGTTGGAGCCGCCCCCTAATATGCTCTTCACTTGCCACCAGTTCATTCTCACATCTTGTGACGTACACAATAGTGAAAACGACCGAGAACTTGCTTTGACAGGGTTTCCTCAATGTGTTGGTTGGTGCCGATATGTCGCCAAAATTAAAGACCGAATCTGGCACAGCACAGCCAGATGCTATTT